TTCTGTGCAAAATTTCCTAATGACATCAGTTTGACCAATTGTAAGGAAATAGAAAACTGTGAAAACGACCCAACATGTTTCTCATAAGATTTCAGTTTGGCTTGGATGTACAGTACACTACCTGTCAAAGTTTTAGAACACCTACTCATTCAAGGGTTTTTCTTTATTTTTACTATTTTGAATAATAGTGAAGCCATCAAAACTATGAAATGACACATATGGAATCATGTAGTAACCAAAAAAGTGTTAAACAAATCAAAATATATTTTATATTTGAGATTCTTCAAATAGCCACCCTTTGCCTTGATGACAGCTTTGCACACTCTTGGCATTCTCTCAACCAGCTTCAACTGGAATGCTTTTGAAGGAGTTCCCACATATGCTGAGCACTTGTTGGCTGCTTTTCCTTCACTCTGCGGTCCGACTCATCCCAAACCATCTCAATTTGGTTGAGGTCGGGGGATTGTGGAGGCCAGGTCATCTGATGCAGCACTCCATAACTCTCCTTCTTGGTAAAATAGCCCTTACACAGCCTGGAGGTGTGTTTTGGGTCATTGTCCTGTTGAAAAACAAATGATAGTCCCACTAAGCCCAAACCAGATGGGATGGCGTATCGCTGCAGAATGCTGTGGTAGCCGTGCTGGTTAAGTGTGCCTTGAATTCTAAATAAATCACAGACACTGTCACCAGCAAAGCACCTCCACACCATCACACCTCCTCCTCCATGCTTTACGGTGGGAAATACACATGTGGAGATCATCCATTCACCCACACCGCATCTCACAAAGACACGGCGGTTGGAACCAAAAATCTCAAATTTGGACTGGATTGTCTCCACCTGATGTCCGGGAGGGCTCTCGCCTGGGCTACGGCAGTGTGGGAACAACAGTCGGCCGTATGCATCAGTCTGGAGGAGTTCATGCAGGAGGTAAAAAAAGGTTTTCAATGCTCCATTGTCCAGGAGAGAGGCTGCCCGGAAGTTACTCCAGCTTCTGCAAGAATCCCGCAGTGTGGCAGACTATGCAGTGGATTTCCACACGTTGGCAGCTGAGTGTGTCTGGAACCCGGAAGCGCTGTTCGACACATTCCTGCACGGAGTATCGGAGGAAGTAAGGGACGAGTTTGCAGCCCGGGAACTACCGACGGATCTCGACACGCTCATCGCCTTGACCATTTGGATCGATGGGCGACTATGGGAACGTAGGAAGGAGAGGAATTCCACCTCGCCTCCGAGGCATGCCGGAAGTCCCCAGACGGCTCTGTTGCCGAGAGAACCAGAGGCTACTCGAGTTCCCCAGAGAGTCTCCGAAGTCTGCCGATCCACCTCTTCCCGAGCCGATGCAACTAGGCAGAGCTAGGCTGTCTCCAGCTGAACGGCAATACAGGCTTCAAACAAAGAGTTGCCTGTATTGCGGGACTACTGGTCATTTTGTGTCCACCTGTCCACTAAAAGACCAGGCTCACCGGTAGGAGCGAATACTCTGGGTTATCAGCCCCCGCTCTTCCCGGCGCAAGAGGAAGAGGTCGGCATACACTCGGCCAAGATGTTTGTCCGCCACTGTCGTCGTACTTGGAGGAGAGCCCGGTCGGCTCTTCTCAAGACCACCTCCGGGTATCGACGGCAAGCGGACCGCCACCGAACCTCGGCTCCCCAGAAGGTATGGCTGTCCACCTGAGATCTGCCCCTCCAGGTGGTGTCCCGCAAACTTTCCCCCCGGTTTATCGGCCTTGATCTCCAAGATAATTTGCCTCTCTGCTGTTCGTCTTCTGTTGCCCTGTACCCTCCGTATACATCACACTTTTCATGTGTCTAGGATCAAACCCATGTCACATAGCCCTTTGTCTCCTGTATCCTCACCCTGAGCCTGCCTGCCGTTCTGTAATTTGTCACCCACCCTGGATTATTGACCTCTGCCTGCCCTGACCCTGAGACTGCCTGCCGTTCTGTACCTTTTTGGACTCTGATCTGGATTACTGACCCCTGCCTGCCCTTGACATGTTGTTTGCCTGCCCCCTGTTTTTGTAATTAACTTTTGTTACTTCGACACTGTCTGCATCTGGGTCTTCTCCTGAAACGTGTTAGACTCCAGACCAGAGGACAAATTTCCACCGGTCTAATGTCCATTGTTCGTGTTTCTTGGCCCAAGCAAGTCTCTTCTTATTATTGGTGTCCTTTAGTAGTGGTTCTTTGCAGCATTTCGACCATGAAGGCCTGATTCACACGGTCTCCTCTGAACAGTTGATGTTGAGATGTGTCTGTTACTTGAACTCTGTGAAGCATTTATTTGGGCTGCAATTTCTGAGGCTGGTAACAGAATGTGGCTAATGAACTTATCCTCTGCAGCAGAGGTAACTCTGGGTCTTCCATTCCTGTGGCGGTCCTCATGAGAGCCAGTTTCATCATAGCGCCTGATGGTTTTTGCGACTGCACTTGAAGAAACTTTCAAAGTTCTTGAAATGTTCTGTATTGACTGACCTTCATGTCTTAAAGTAATGATGGACTGTCGTTTCTCTTTGCTTATTTGAGCTTTTCTTGCTATAATATGGACTTGGTCTTTTACCAAATTTTACCAAATAGGGCTATCTTCTACATGAACTTTTAAGAAGGCACACCTGTTAATTGAAATGCATTCCAGGTGGCTACATCATTAAGCTGGTTGAGAGAATGCCAAGCGTGTGCAAAGCTGTCATCAAGGCAAAGGGTGGCTATTTGAAGAATCTCAAATATAAAATATATTTTGATTCGTTTAACACTTTTTTGGTTACTACATGATTCAATATGTGTTATTTCATAGTTTTGATGTCTTCACTATTATTCTACAATGTAGAAAATAGTAAAAATAAAGAAAACCCTTGAATGAGTAGGTGTTCTAAAACTTTTGACCGGTAGTGTATACAGTATTTTATGTGGTTGAAATACTATCAGCTTTTATAATGCTGATAAAGATAGCACGTCTACAGAAGGTATCTGACTGCGCATTCACATTCTGTCAACATGCTGAAAGAAAGAACTCATATTTCTCCACTCCTGTTTCCAAGTCAAAATGTAGCGTATTTTTGGTGTATAATTTTACTGCAAGAAATGCTTAATTCTGCAGGGGTTAATATTAAGGCTATTTTAGAGGTTATAGACCTACAGTCAGTGTCCGGGTTTCAGTTTCCATTTAACCCATTTGAACAGTAGGCTACTTTTTTTTTTTTACACGTCATAGGCCTATTTGAAGTCCCCATCTTGTGACTGTCGAATTTGTATAGCTCCTCACAATCATCACACATAACATAGCTATCAACCTCTTTTACCACTTCACCAAATCTTTCCTAAACATTACTTTTCTGGCCCTCCTTTCTCTTTATTTTCAGCTCTCCATTTCGCAGCTTTTCTCTTATTGAATTAAACTCAGACAATGTCATTTTTGCCTCCGTAGATCAACATAAACTTTTTCTGCCCGTTCCCAAAAGCATTTGGTTATTGGTGTGTAGGCTATTTGGCGCATGTACAGTTAGCTCCTAAAGCACTGTATTTCTGAATGTAGGCATACATTTAATATATATAATACCCCACACCCCCATTCCATGAATTAAACTTTGACCTACCAGCACCATCACCCACTTTCCCTTAGGCATCTTAACTTACCCTGTCCCTACGCTCAATTTACCCCGTAAGTTGTGGCAGAGACCACTTTTTTTGGAAAAGGTATGTTTTCAAAACTGGTATGTTGACATGAATTCTGATTATTTCCAAGGATACAAAACATCCTGAAATATATGTAAATATCTTTGTTAGAAATAATACTATATTTCCCTTGATGTAGTGAAGCTGAATGTAAAGACTTGCTCAATTACCCCACTCACCCTTACTATTGACACCTAAAATACCAAGTTATCTAATGCATCCCCTTTTTGTTTGTTACAGTGTGCTATGTTTGGTCAAGTTGGAGTCACTGTATGTGATGTTTTGCATCTGTGTATTGAAAGCATTTGAATAATGTTGCATCAATAGCTGGACACTGTTCCACACTGCTTCGCCTGCGCAGAACATTTTGTAATAATTAACCACAATTATAATAATGAGATCATCATGCAAATGTAAGTTTCCAAATACAGCTCCAGTCATTGAGGTAATTTGGCTAGGGGAGAGTGGGGTAAGTTGAGCCATTTTTTACATTCAGCATCACTCCTTCAAGGTAAATATAATATTCTTTCTAACAAAGATATCACAATATATTTCAGGATGTTGTATATCCCTGGAAATAATCAGAATCCATGTCAATATTATAGTTTTGAAAACATAGCTTGTCCAAAAAAAGTGGTCTCTGGCACAACTTACCCTGGGTATGTATGGGGTAAGTTGAACCGCTGGAAGTGGTAAGTTACAAAATTCTGTACTGAATAAAATAAAACCATGTCTATCTTTATTTCACAAACACATATCAACACAATTACAATCACTTTTTTCTCTTTTAATCATTTAAGCATCTTTTAACACAGGCTAAACGCCTAACAAACACTTTTGTACTTTTTAAAACACTTTTAACATAGGCCAGGCCCTGTTGTTACATCATATGCTAGCGATAATGCCTTGCATTACGCATGAGAAGAAAACACTTTAATTTGCTCAACTTTCCATTGGCTCAACTTACCCCAAGGCAAACATTTGGACTATCTTAGCCCACACAGCAACAAGGATGCACTTTCATGCTAGGTTTAAGACCTTATATTAAAGCTTATAGAGACCATAACTGATGTATAGAACAATCTTAAAATTCTCTACTTTGGTTTAGATACAAGCATCATGAAACCTCTAACACAATAAATTAATTTGACTTGGTGAAAATCTGTGTTTTGGACCTAAATTGCATACCACTTTTTCCATGTGGTTTCTTCCTCTTTCTAAATATTGGGTCAAATTATTAATTTTGTGTATGGTTTCCTAGAAACAAGGGTGGATAAATGTCCCCCTTTCGCTCAACTTACCCCACTCTCCTCTATAGGTTGCATGTAAGTCTCTAGAACAATTCCTTCCCCTTCCTTTAAGAAATCGCTATACTACTCGATTTGTCAACAGGTTAAAACTTTATTAAGGACATTTTATAATATTTTTATTCCGAAATTGCATGGAGGCAACCACAAACACTCGCTATAAACCACAAATTGTAGCAAAGATCTGTGAAATACATTAAATACGGTTAACCTATGACTAGTACACTAGGCCACAAAAAGTAACACTACTCCAACTGATCACTGGAGGTCAAAGTCTTGAGCTCCGGCTTGGACTTGGCCTTGACCTCAACTCCCCGCAGCTCCGTCACACTATTCCCACCCCTCTCCTTCTCCTTCCCCGACCACCCCAGCTTGAGTGACAGTGGGGCTGAGGAACCACTCCGGCTGGACTTTGAACTGCGGGTAAAGGAGGCAGAGGTCCCTCCCTCAGAGTTGGTGCCCTCAAAGAGCTTGGCCATGAAGCTGAGGCCGGCCTGGCGGATGTGGGAGCTGCCGGCGAACACATACAGCACAGGGTTCACACTGCTGCTCAGGAAAGCAAACGCTGTGACGTTGGGACGGACCGCCTTGGCCACTTTCAACAGAGTGTCGTTACCACCCAGCAGACCAATCACCTGAGAGAGAGAGGGAAAGAGAGAGCGAGAGAGAGAGAGAGAGGGAAAGAGGAGAGAGAGAAAAAGGAAGAGGCGAAGAGTTGAGAGGAGACAGATAGATACAAGAGAGACAGATATAGGGCTTATACCTGTTATTAAACCTGTACGACACACAACAAATTAACTGCTAAATAATGTGCAGTACCTTGAAATACATTGGCCAACTCCCATACCTGTAAAATGTTGACCAGGTGGTAGGGCAGCCAGAACAGAGCGAAAGCACCGATGATGAGGAGGATGAGACGGTTTCCCCGTCCCTTGTGCTGGAACATGGCCCTGCGTAGTCCGCAGATGACAAAGGTGTAGCAGACAATGATGAAGATGAAGGGGAGGAAGAAGCCCAGGACGGTCTCAAACAGGTACTGGAACACCTGGTGACCCACACTGCCCCAATGATACGATATGCAGACGGTCACGGAGCTGTTCATGTGCAGCTTCAGGTTACTAAATTATATATATATAGAGAGAGAGAGAGAGAGAGAGAGAGAGAGACAGAGAGAGAGAGAGAGAGAGAGAGAGACAGAGACAAAGACAGAGAGACAGAGAGAGAGAGATTGTTTGATTGAGACAATGAGTGTTCCAGGTTCTTTATTGCAGTCATACTTCACAGATTATTAGAGAAGTGTTTAACAGCTTAGGAACTACAAATAGGCGGCCTGTAATGCAAACCAAAATCTTCAGATCAGTATTGAAGAATGATAACCGCCTTTTTGTTAGTGTAAGTGTATTTGAATATGTCCTCTCTCTCATGCCTCTCTCTCTCTCTCTCTCTCTCTCTCTCTCTCTCTCTCTCTCTCTCTCTCTCACACACACACACACAAACACATACACACACACAGCCCCACCTGCGGTAGAAGGCCATGGGCAGTGCCAAGACGAACGCCAGCACCCAGATCCCCAGTAGAACAGCCATCAGGGTTTTCTTGGTCCTCATCCTCTGAGCCAGGAAGGGCCTTGCCACGGCCAGCCAGCGATCCATGCTCATCAGGCAGATCAGGTAGATGGACACGTTCATGTTAACACAGCACAGGTAGTGCACCGTCTTACAAGCCGCCGCCCCAAACTCCCAGCCTCGCCTGCCTGCTAGGAAGCGCAGGAAAAGCGGGGCGCTTAGCAACACCAATGCGTCGGCCACAGCGAGGTTTAAGACCAGCAGGCAGGTAACCGACCGATGCCTCACACGGCACAGCACCGACCACACAACAAACAGGTTGCCGGGGAAACCGAAGACGAATGCTAGGACCAGGATAGAGATGCCGATCTGGTGTGATATAGAGAGAGGAGAGGAAGAGGAGGCGAGAGGAGACATGGAGGGGAGCTGGGGGGAGGCAGTGGAGATGGAGAGGTCTGACGCCATTTTGAGAGGGAACTGAAGAATCGGTGGTTTCTGGAACTTTGGGATTAGCAGTCCTCACTACTGTTGGATAGAATGACCAGAGAATTACACTGTAAAAAATTACCCACGGGTTTAGTAAATATTGCAAAAGAAATGTAATGATTTTTACTTACATTTTTGAATATAGTACTTAATTTATATGTGTTGAAAAATACTGACATTTGCAAATAAAAATCCAAAGTAATATGCTGTTAAATCTGAACAACCAACAACTTAAAAATATGATATTCAAATTATCCTTATTATGTTGGACTGACATGCTAGAATAACTAGATCTAGTTCTGAACGTAAATTGTGCTTGGAACAGTTCAACAGACATAGTCTTGATCTTTCTTCTCTGGAATGGACATGCGGCAGGTAAGGACCAAATTATAACTTGGAATGTAGTTTGGATCTCTCTACTCATATTTTCAATGAAATGTCAAAAAAAATTGTGGAAAACTTTAAATAATATTGTTCAAGTACAGTACCAGTCAAAGGTTTGGACACACCTACTCATTCAAGGGTTTTACTTTATTTTTTACTATTTTCTACATTGTAGAATAATAGTATAGACATCAAAACTATGAAATAACACATATGGAATCATGTAGTAACCAAAAAAGTGTTAGACAAATCGAAATGTATTTTAGATTTTAGATTCTTCAAATAGCCACCCTTTGCCTTGATGACAGCTTTGCACACGCTTGGCATTCTCTCAACCAGCTTCATGATGTAGTCACCTGGAATGCATTTCAATTAACAGGTGTGCCTTCATAAAAGTTAATTTGTGGAATTTCTTTCCTTCTTAATGCGTTTGAGCCTTTCAGTTGTGTTGTGACAAGGTGGGGGGGGGGGGGGGGGGGGGGGGGGGGGCTATACAGAAGATATACCTATTTGGTTAAAGACCAAGTCCATATTATGGCAAGAACAGCTCAAATAAGCAAAGAGAAACGACAGTCCATCATTATTTCAATAACTTTTTTAATTTTTTTCAAGTGCAGTTGCAAAAACCATCAAGCCCTATGATGAAACTGGCTCTCATGAGGACCGCCACAGCAAGAATCTCAAATATAAAATGTATTTTGATTTGTTTAACACTTTTTTGGTTACTACAGTTGAAGTCGGAAGTTTACATACACCTTAGCCAAATACATTTAAACTCAGTTTTTCACAATTCCTGACATTTAATCCTAGTAAATATTCCCTGTTTTAGGTCAGTTAGGATCACCACTTTATTTTAAGAATGTAAAATGTCAGAATAATAGTAGAGAGAATGATTTATTTCAGCTTTTATTTCTTTCATCACATTCCCAGTGGGTCAGAAATGTACATACACTCAATTAGTATTTGGTAGCATTGCCTTTAAATTGTTTAACTTGGGTCAAACGTTTTGGGTAGCCTTCCACAAGCTTCCCACAATAAGTTGGGTGAATTTTTGACCATTCCTCCTGACAGAGCTGGTGTAACTGAGTCAGGTTTGTAGGCCTCCTTGCTCGCACACGCTTTTTCAGTTCTGCCCACACATTTTCTATAGGCTTGAGGTCAGGGCTTTGTGATGGCCACTCCAATAACTTGACTTTGTTGTCCTGAAGTCATTTTGCCACAACTTTGGAAGTATGCTTGGGGTCACTGTCCATTTGGAAGACCCATTTGCGACCAAGCTTTAACTTCCTGACTGATGTCTTGAGATATTGCTTCAATATATCCACATAATTTTCCTTCCTCATGATGCCATCTATTTTGTGAAGTACACCAGTCCCTCCTGCAGCAAAGCACCCCCACAGCATGATGCTGCCACCCCCGTGCTTCACGGTTGGGATGGTGTTCTTCGGCTTGCAAGCAACACCCTTTTTCCTCCAAACATAACAATGGTCATTATCGCCAAACAGTTCTATTTTTGTTTCATCAGACCAGAGGACATTTCTCCAAAAAGTACGATCTTTGTCCCCATGTGTAGTTGCAAACCGTAGTCTGGCTTTTTTATGGCGGTTTTGGAGCAGTGGCTTCTTCCTTGCTGAGTGGCCTTTCAGGTTATGTCGATATAGGACTTGTTTTACTGTGGATATAGATACTTTTGTACCTGTTTCCTCCAGCATCTTCACAAGGTCCTTTGCTGTTGTTCTAGGAGACAGAACGCGTCTCCTTCCTGAGCGGTATGACGGCTGCGTGGTCCCATGGTGTTTATACTTGCGTACTATTGTTTGTACAGATGAACGTGGTACCTTCAGGCGTTTGGAAATTGCTCCCAAGGATGAACCAGACTTGTGGAGGTCTACACTGTTTTTTCTGAGGTCTTGGCTGATTTCTTTTCATTTTCCCATGATGTCAAGCAAAGAGGCACTGAGTTTGAAGGTAGGCCTTGAAATACATCCACAGGTACACCTCCAATTGACTCAAATGATGTCAATTAGCCTATCAGAAGCTTCTAAAGCCATTACATAATTTTCTGGAATTTTCCAAGCTGTTTAAAGGCACAGTCAACTTAGTGTATGTAAACTTCTGACCCACTTGAATTGTGATACAGTGAATTATAAGTGAAATAATCTGTCTGTAAACAATTGTTGGAAAAACTACTTGTGTCATGCACAAAGTAGATGTCCTAACCGACTTGCCAAAACTATAGTTTGTTAACAAGAAATTTGTGGAGTGGTTGAAAAACGAGTTTTAATGACTCCAACCTAAGTGTATGTAAACTTCCGACTTCAACTGTACTATATACATTTTACGGACACAATATATTTTACAATAGTCATCTTTTGTTTGTTTTTAGTCCCATCCTTCAACCCCTCCCATCTATCTCTGAACACCATCCAGTTTTAATTTCTATTTGCCATATATTTTTCAACTGTGCTGTGATATTTATAAAAAGTACTGAACCTTTAAATTCTCATAGATTCTACATATTGTAAATTAAAAATAAACATTTTTGCTAAGAGTATTATTATATTATTGATCGATTGACTATGACTTTTTAAATCATCCAGCAGTGCTATTTGCAGAGGGGGACATAACTTGGCAGGGGGTCTGGGGGTCCTCCCATTTTTTGAGGGCATCTGAAGCACATTTCCTGCATTTCTACACAATCTAATATGACCCATGGCCTTTCTAGCCGTCTCTATTTAGAACAACAGAAAGTAAGCAAAAATGCCCACAGTCATCAAGCTAGATAAGAGATTATTACATATGTTTAAGTGATTGATAAGACTGAACTAGATGATAATTCAATAATCAATATTGTGTTGCACCTTTAACCAATAGCCTAACAAATGAACAACTCTTACAAATAATGTACAAAGACAACTTTTCAGCCAGACCGCCCATCCAACCCGAGCCGCCTACACGCCCGACCACCACCGGTCTAGTCAATAACTCAACTCTCTCCCCAACACAACTTCCTTCCCATCTTTTTTTTATGTCTCAAGGGAAAGGTTTGGAAAACAAAAGTTGCATGAAAACACACATACACATATACATTAACACACATAAACAGTACACCCTCCATATAATTCATATCATAGGCCTAATAGTACTGTAGAGCTCTTTTTACTTGCAAACAACATAGCTGGGTCACCCCGTCCTGCCCCTACGGGTCCACAGCCCTGTAGCGCCCCTACCCAACACACCCCACTCAGCTTTAGGATCTTAGTGAAACATTCATTATTGTGTGTTAGGCCGAGGCCAGCGTGACAACTGTACAGCAGACCCCCAGGGCCAGGACTGAGCAGCCCAGCAACTAGAGATTGCCTAAATCTCCCCTGACGTGGGCATGTTTTCAATACAGACTCCTTTGGTCATACAGCATTCCATATAAGGCATCCAGACCTTATGAAAGTTGCCCAGTATACCCTTAATCTTAAAACAAATCTAGTGATACTGTACATAACTTGAAATGTATTCCATACACTGTGGAAGGATAACCAACCTTACAATTAATGGCAATGCATTTATTAGCCACTATAGATGCTAGGTTACACAGTTTCTTCTGATAACAGTCTCCAGTATCAACATTTCCAACAAAAACAGTGGGAAGGGAGAATCTGTAGACATGCTGAGATAAAATAATATACTCTTCGCCAGAATTTAGCCAACCTTCACAAGACCACAACATAAGCAAATATGACCCCTTTTGTGCTTTACACCTCCAGCAGAATAATACAATTTCTGAGTGCATGATATTCAGTTTCACTGGCATATAGTACGTTGTATGGATGGTTTTAAAATGCAGAAATGTATGTCTGAGATTATATGAACATGACTGGGCATTCCAACATATCTGTATCCATTCATCATCATAGCGTCTCCCAGTTCTTCCTCACATTTTTGTTTGACATGTTTTGTGTCATCGGGAAAAGCCTCTATCAACCCTTGATACAGTTTGGAAATCAACTTTGGAGGTTTGTCAGACTGCCTTAAAATAGCATCTGGCTTGTCCAGTGTTTGCTGGACAGAGAGAATAAAGTGTTGTATCTGCAACAATTCACCTCACCTCTGTCACAAACTGGTCTTCCCTGGCTGCCTGACTGCTGAGACTGCTTTCACCATCTGATCCTCCTAAAATGAGGCATGACAAATAATTACCTTGGTGTACATTTATACATTATATTATCCAAGATTCAATAATTGAAATGACCATTATTCCCAGATCCCAGACTGTAGCTTTAAACTTAAGCTGCTGTCCTGTAGCTACTGTAGGTTTACCCATCGATTCAAGATGGAACTTTGTATCATTCACTGAATATACTGCAAAATTCACCTGCGCTCTGTAGACTGGTCTTCCCTGGCTGTCTGACCCTGCTGGGACCCCTGTCACCATCTGATACTGCTAAGACATGATGAGCATAGTGTTGTGTACTGACTGCACTAGAGGGCTACATTCCTGTGGGATGCCTGCGGGTCCCGACAGACATCATTGCGGCACGGTCTGCATTCTTCATGCTGCAGGCGGGAGCGGGCGGTCAGACAGACGACTTTGGATGAAA